GAAACCTCTTGTCTGCTTCTTTCCAGGGACAATGTCTTTCAAAATTGTTACTTTAAAGTGGTATCACGGGGGTGAGTTAATTATTGGCCCTTTTAGTAGATATGTGGGGGCAGTCAAACCTTGACTTTAGACGTGGATGTAGATAGGATTTCCTTCTTTGAGCTTATGGATTACACTAGGGAGATGGGCCTAGTTAACGTGGCTGAGCTGTATATATGCTCAATGGATAGGATTGACAAGCTGATAAATGTATTGACTGATAAGGATATTTTAGACATTTGCAATCAGTTAGAGGATGGGGATACACTAGAAATATATGTGACTCATGCTGCCCCTATAGAAGTACTTGACCCTGATGAAAATGGTGAAAGTGTGTGTTGTAGCAAGGCTTCTAGTAAAAGGCCTATAGAGGTCCAAGATGATGAAGAGGTAGATGATGAAGATGCTGATGACATACGCTGGAGTTCAGACAGTTCTGCCGCTTCTGATGATGGAAATGCTTCTGATGGTGCTGCAGAAGACACTTCTACCGCTGATGATGTTGTTTCTGATGATGCTGGGAAGCAAGAGGAAGTAGACATAGACTGGACATCTGATAGTTCGATGATGTTCTGATGTTCCTGATGATGTTCCTGGTGATGTTCCTGATGATGTTCCTGATGAGTTGGGTGAAGGTAGAGAGAAAGTGAAGAGAAGCAGGAGAAAAAGAAGTGAAAAGCCTAAAGGGAGGGGTGATATAAACATGGACAAGGCAGGTGTAGACATTGGGTTTGATGAGCTGCGTACAGGTAGTAAGCAACATAGGTATGAAGGTTTAGTTGGGACTGATGAGCCATACTTTGGTTCTTCAGATGCTGAAAGTTTTGCATCAGATGTGGAAGAGGAAGATGGTGAAGAACATAAGAAGAAAGTGGAGGAAAAAAAGAAAAAGAAGAGGTTAATCTTTGATCCTACTGTCAAGAAAATCACTTGGGAGTTAGGATTGATCTTTGAAAGTGTTCATCAGTTTAGGGAAGTAGTCACCAAATATGCAATTCAAAAAAGGGAATGAAGACTTAGATGTGCTACATAAGCATCTTATGTGTTGGTTAGATGTGTTGCAGCTGATAAAGATGGGTTATGCTTTGTAAAGTGTTGCAATGATAATAAGGTGAAAAGATATAATCCAGTGCACAAGTGTTATACAACCAACAAGAACAAGTTGTGTAATTCAAGATATCTTGCCAAAAAATTCAAGAGCAGAATTATGTCACAACCAGGTATGAAAGTTAGGGAGTTCAGAAAATTGATAAAGCAAAAACTGGACCTCTATGTAGGGAGATCAACTGCCCACAGGGCTAGAGCAAAGATATTGAAAGAAATCATTGGTGATGTGCATCAAGAGTTCAAAAGGCTCTATGACTACAGAGATATGATTTTGCAGACCAATCCTGGGAGTACCTGTGTGGTAAAAGCAGAAGATCCAGGTGATGGGAAGCTGGTATTCTCCAAAATCTATGTCTGTTTACATGCCATGAAAAGGGGCTGGCTGGAAGGATGCAGAAGAATTATTGGCCTTGATGGATGTTTCTTGAAAGGAGTTTGCAAGGGACAACTTCTTGTAGCTGTCTCCAAAGATGGAAACAATCAGATGTTTCCAATTGCATGGGCAGTTGTGGAGGTAGAGAACACATTCAATTGGACATGGTTTCTGAAATGTTTAAGTGAAGATTTGGGCTTACAAGATGGAAGAGACCTTACAATGATGTCTGATATGCAGAAGGTAACTACTTTCAGTTCTGCTTCAGTTGTTTAATTAAATTCTGTTCTGCTTCAGTTTTTCTGTTTTCATTATGTTCTGCTTCAGTTTTTCTGTTTTCAGTTGTTCTGCTTTTTATTGTTCTGGAATGCTGCAGGGTTTAATTAATGCTGTTAGAGACTTGTTACCTGAGTGTGAACACAGGATGTGTGCTAGGCACATCCTTGCAAATTGGTCAAAAGAGTGGAGAGGGTTGGAGAGGAGAAATACTTTCTGGAGATGTGCAAGGGCTTCTAGTATTCCAGAATTGAATGACCAACTTGATATGCTAGACAAGCTTGGGGATGGAATATGTCAAAGTTTACTCCACTATAGAAAAGAAACATGGTGTAGAGCTTATTTTAACTGTGATAGGAAGTGTGATGTAATTGACAACAATATGTGTGAGACTTTCAATTCCTGGATTTTGGCTGAAAGACACAAAACAATCATCACAATGTTAGAGGATATTAGAATTAAGCTGATGACTAGGATAGGTAAGATGAGAGAGTTCTGTGAGACATGGATATGTGATATCTCCCCAATAGCAATGAAGATTTACCAGGATAATTTAGCCAAGTCTATGAAGTGTACTCCAAGATGGAATGGTGAAACAGGCTATGAGATTGAAGATACTAAATATAAGCATGTGGTATCCTTAGTGACTATGACCTGTAGTTGTAGAGCCTGGCAGTTAAAGGGCATTCCTTGTTGTCATGCAATTGCTAGTATGCATTACAAGGACATGGAACCTATTCACCACATTGCACATTGGTATCGTAAGTCCACTTACTTGAAGGCTTATTCAACTTTTATCCAGCCTGTCCCATGTATGAAGCAATGGCCATCTTCAAGCCACCCCCCGATTGAACCTCCCCCTATTAGAAACATGCCTGGCAGACCAAAAAAAAATAGGAAAAGAGAAGAAACTGAACACCCAAAATCTGGAAAGCTTTCAAGGAGAGGTATGGAGATGACTTGTTCCCTTTGTGGTGTGTGTGGACACAACAAGAGGGGATGCCCAAGTAAAAAATCTGCAGCTGGAAATGCTACTGCTGAAGCTGCTTCAGCTGGTACTGCTTCTACTGGAACTACTGCAGCTGGAACTGCTTCTGCTGGAACTGCTGTAGCTGATACTGCTTTTGCTGGAAATGGTAGAGGAAGAGGAAGAGCAAGAGGAACAGGTAGAGGGGTTGGAAAAGGTAGAGGCAGTGGTTATGGGTTGTTTCAAGCAAATAATGGGTTTACTTCTTTTACAGTAAGTTTGCTAACTAAATGTATAATTACTGTGTCTTCCTTCTATTGAATGTGATGTTGTAACTAACTACACTTTACTTTGGCAGAGTGGAGGACAAAATCCAAGGGTTATTAGCACCGGAACTAACACTAAGAGATCCACAGCTTCAACAGAGGAATGTGCTTACCAACCAAGAAGTGCCGGCTTGAGGTGGATGGGCAAAAAAGCCATAAGCACAAGACAACTTCAAAGAAATGTAGCATCAAAACACAATCTTAGTCAAGCTAGTTCATCATCTCAACCAACCAAGAAGCAGAAAAAGAAATGAAGACTTTGTTTGTTGCTTAAGCTTTGTGTTTTGTTAAGTATTGCAGCTGATAACAATGTGTTATGTTTTGTAAAGTGTTGCTATGGACAACCAAGTAAAGTGCTATATTTTGTGTAGTGTTGCTATGGTCAACCAAGTACTATATTTTGTAAAGAAATGCTTATCAGATTTGGTGTCCACTAATGAACGTCTATTTTGTGGAAATGAAGTATATTTAGGTCTTGAAATCATTTAAGCTGCTCAAATTCTACAATCTTAGTCAGTCTATTTTGTGGAAATGAACGTCTATTTTGTACTGCTTTGCTTTGGTTATACAAATTCTACATTTGCCATGTTTCGTTCCCAAAGCTAAATAGAGATGTAACACTAAATATATAGGAATGTAACACCAGCTTTACTATAAAATAGGGGTTGACCCTCATAGAAAACAAGCTCAATGAGCCAAATACATGAAGACCCAATACATTGGAATATCATTACACTATATAGCAGTGTTGAGAACTACCAAATACAATGGCCTTAATGAAGATTAATCCTAAAATCAGAAAAAAAAAAGCCTCCTCCAGTTCCACTGTTTTCTGGATTCCTGCAAATGGCCTTCAAGCTGATTCTTCTTCTTAAGCAAACCCAAAATCACCGGCTTCAAGTGTTCATGAGTTGGGGGGTCAAACCATGCGAAATACTTGCAGCCAATTGACTTATCTTTCTGCAAATCCATAAACAATTTGAGAAGAAGCTTATAAAATCTTGAAATTGAATATAACGCAATATGTAAGATTACCTCGTAATTTTTACAGTCATAGAATCGACAACCAGGATTGTCGTTGCTCCATGAAATTACTAGTTCAGCAGCATCTCCACATCGACAAAATGGACCCGAACTCTCCATTCAATAAGAACCCTAATATGAGAATTGACAGAAGAATGATAATGTAATGCACTTTAATTTACCAAATATAACCAGCCTCTCAATATTAGTTGTGGAAGGTGAAGAAGAAGATTGTTTGGTTCAGAACATTGTTTGGTTCCTTTAAAGAAGAAGAAGATGAAATAAGAGGGAGATGAAGAATTGGGGCAGAAAATGGGCGTTAGGGTTAAAGAAAATGGGCCCAAATTTTAGTAAATAGCCGTTGTAATTAGTCAGTGAAGGCAGAAAGTAACTATTCACGCGCCCCACTGGTCGTGTTTCACACGCCCCAGAGGCTGGTCAAAAGTAGTGTGTAATTGACACACTTTTGAAAGGTTTGGTGTGTAAAATAAAATCCGTGTTCAACAGGTGTGTAAGAGGAATTTGGTCCTAAGTTTGATGGATAGATTATGTATTTTGCCTATTCAAAAAGCCAGAAAATGATAATACCTGAAGATAACTAAATACCACTGAAAATGATAATCTTAGTAGACTTATGATGTGCACACATAAGGAAACTCACGTTACTTCTCATATTAAGAGTGCAATAAATATGATCCAGAACAAAAAGCAGAGTGGCAAAATAATTAAAAATCAGAACAGGTGTACCTCTTTAAGCTAGCTTGGAAAGCTTAAGCAATGTTCTAATTGCATACTTTCAGCTTCTGCCATTCAATTGGATGCGATTTCTTTGGCCTAAGGTAAAAGGAAATTACATTATATTGATAACAAGTGAAATAAATATTCACTTCTAACTTCCCGAGTGAAATTGTGGTGTCATGTTAAGCAAAGAAGGATCCTTTGCTAAAACGTGTATTAGTAACTCTACAGTACTTGCATCAAACGAGAAGTCTGTTCCACTCACTTCCTTCAAAAAAGTGTTCATTTCACTAATTTTGCCACACTTGAGAAATCCTTGCATAATAACATTGTAAGTGCAGTTGTTTGGCGAATAACCATTGTGCTCCGTTTTTCTTAGCATATCTTTAGTTTCATCTAACAACCCTTCTAAACATAGTCCATTTATTATTGTAGGGTATGTAATCACATTGGGAAACAATCCAATCAAAGAAAGCTTCTCAAAAATAGCATGAGCTTTGTCGAGCTGACAAGTTTTGCACAATCCGTCAATAATAACAGTGTAAAGTTCAATATCAATATCTTCTCTCTTTCTTTCCAACTCATGAAATAGCAACATTGCTTTCTCAACAAGCCCACTGTGAAAATAACCGCCGAGCAAAATGCAATTACTGCATAAATCAGGTTTGAGCCCGTAGATAGCATTTCAGCAAAGAATTTTTCGGCAAAGTCAGTTCTTCCAGCATCAAATAGACCTTTCAAGATAGTATTGTATCTGTATGTAACAATGTTAGGTTTTAATCCATTTCGAGAAATTTCATGAAACAAATGCATGGCCTCATCCAATTTCTTTTTCTTACCGTATCCATTTATTATTATGTTATAGCTAAAAATGTTAGGCTCAATGCCCTTATCTATCATGGAATCAAAAAAGTCACGACCCAGGCTGATGGGCCGGGACGGGCACCCACTGCCTTACTCAACCGAGTACCAACGTAACATATCTTTCTTATCGTACCATCATGGGTAAGTGGGCCAGAAGGGCCGTCAGGAGATAACCGGAATTAAGCATAAGAAAATACTGGACATGGGATGACCAAACATGATATAGAAACTTATACACATGACATACGGGCCTATAAGGCCGACATGATCATTTATATACTCAAAACATAGGCCGACAAGGCCATACAAGTATCCGTATACATGACATCTATCTACAAGCCTCTAAGAGTACATAAATATCATAAAGGTCAGGACAGGGCCCCGCCATACTAATCAACACATGTCCTAATCATACTGACCAAATAAGCAATTCCGGAGCAAATGGAGCGCACCAACACCTTTGGCTGAGCTGATAGCCTACTTGAAGGACTCTCAACTCATCTATCGCGACCTTCTACTTGGAGGACTCTCAATTCTGGTTATAAGTAACAATAAATTCCAACACTTCTATTTATTTGGAGAGTGCGTAAGAAAATAATTTCATACCCATTCTCTGATTCTTTTTATCACCATAGCCGCAAAATAGTTCAAATTCTAAGTTTGGGAGATTGATGGTTCCGGTGGTTGACGGTGAGTAGGGAGTGGAGGTGGTAACTTTGGTAAAATTTTTGGATGAAGAATATAAATAATAAAAGGGGTGAATAGACGGTGGAATGAGTTGTGATGAAGATTAGATTGGGGGAGGGGGGCTAAGGGTTTTCTCAACTTAAAAAAAGGTGATTATTTTTATTTTTCTAAAAGATACACATGTCATTTGTTGATTTGTTCATTTGCCACATCATTTGCATTTGTAATTCGCGCATGTGATATGCTGAATTCGGGTGTCCACAAGATACACTTACACCAATATAAAGTGTCTAGATGGTCACTTGGTAAGTTGGAGTGTTTAACTAATAGCTGAGGCCAACTTTAGGTGTCTGTTTATGTATTCTGCCAAAATTTTATGAAGAGATAGGTTTTACTACTAATATATGCCTAGTAAATACTCTCTCCGTTTCAATTTAGATGAGATAGTTTGACTTTGCACAAAATTTAAGGGAAGAAAGAAGACTCTTGAAACATGTGCTCTTAAAAGTTTAAGGGGCAAATATTTATAGGGTCATGGCATTTGTGTGGCTATAAAAGCTTCTCATTAAGGATAAAGTTGGTAAAATAAAAAGTTTAAAATTGAATTATTTCCAAATAGAGAAATGTGTCGTTTTTTTTGGGACAAACTAATAAGGAAAGTGCGTCATTTAAATTGAAACAGAGAGAGCATAATTTATGAGTAGGAGTCTAAAGTATAAAATAACGATGTGAATATATCTATATTGTAATACATTTTTTTTCCTTCTCTTCATTTTTCCAATTAAAGTTCTAAATAAATATTTTTTGTTTTTATGCTTTTATATGGCTTACTACCTTATTGCTTTTATTCTGCTTTTATATGGCTTTTTGTTGTTGTCCCTTCTTATCTATATTTTCATTAATGTGATGTTTATGCTTTCCTGAGCCGATGGTCTATTGGAAACAATCTCTCTATCTCACAAGGTAGGGGTAAGGTCTTCGTACACACTACCCTCCTCAGATCCCACGGTGTGAGATAATACTGGGTATGTTGTTGTTTATTCAAACAAGAATATGTGATGACCCGGGAGGTCGTGATCGGCACTTAGCAAGATTTCGCCTACCAAGTAAACCTACATTCACTTTAATCAACGTAACTCAAATGTGCACACGTGTAATAAATAAACATGTGACAATCTTGTCTAATAATGACGTGTATTGGGACTTGAACCCCACATCTTAGCATCACAAATGCACAAGGTCTCACTCCTATGTCCAGTCGCCATGGTGCACCATGACTCGAATCCAATATCTTACCTTGTGATGCGTCAGGACTTGGAACGCCACGTCTTACAACTCAAATATCTTGGGATAATATGCCCACACCATCATAGAAATGCATCAATGCTTGAACCTAACGTCTTATCAACACCTCAGAACGGCCCAGGACTCACCTAAAGAAGCCAAGTGATGAAAATGACTTTTGTCGCCCTGTTGGTTCTTGGTATCCATCTCTATATCACCAACCTGATGAAGTATGCAAATGAAGCTGAAGATTTGAAACTAGTCTTTCTTTAGCTGAACTTTTGTTGGGATGTTAGCAATTCATCCCAGCTATGATTGTGAATAGAACAACTAACAAAGGATCCCCTGTTTCATTTCTAAAATGTAATCAATCAATTCGTTGTGAATCTACAAAACTATTAATAATTGAAAAAATGTTAGTAAAAGCTTTTTAGACACAAAAAAGACACTATAGAGAGTATGAAACAAAAAAAAAAAGTGTCACAATTGATTAAGCATAATAGTGTCCACCAAATATCGAAGTGCTTGTGGTACATGTTTTTTCTCTGCTTCTGATATTCCTCTTCTTCAAAGTTTTTTGCTTTCATGTTCCATTATCTATTATATGTACGCAAAGAATTAACCCCCCCCCCCCCCAACCCCCCAAACACCACAACACAAGTTTCAATTCATGGTTCATGCATCGAGTATGATCAAATGAGAATGTGTCTGAAATGGTTGTCATGTGTTACACACTTCCAAATGCACCAATCTGCATATGCAATATAATGGTAATTAAAGTTGTTAAAATCAAACGAAATAGACCTAAAATCATATGAAAGAAAATTGTTTCAAAAGACCTACAATATTAATTTCATGCAACTTATGTCTTATGAAGATATTAACGGCATCACTTTTTTAGCAAATTCATACTATTTTTTATTATCATTATTACATTTTGAATTATGTTGCTGAGTGCAGGCTTAACTTCAGTATGCATGCACATCTTAAGGCCACAGTCGAGGTTGACTCAAAGGATGTTGGTATCAAGGACTGCAAGCATTTTGCTGATTCTGGCAGCAATTTCTACTGTTGATTCAATCTTTGGCGAATGGATGCGTATAATCCAGCACCGTACTTCACTCCCCCGCGGAACACAGAAAGAAACTTATCATCCGACCTGGATTCCTCGATGGTGATCACGCTAGCATCCATGTCCATAATGGAACATCTCATGTCATTAAAGGTTGAATTGCATGAGTGTTAATCTGTCACAAAAAAATGGCAAAGATGATTAGAAACACGGAAAAGAAGAAAAACCTACTTACTTTTTTTATAATCGAGAAATCCCCGAGGGTCAGCTAATGCACGGTTCAAAACTCGGTGGAAAATGACCAGCTCCTCTACCTTTCTTTACTTAAATACCAAAGTTTTGTTGCAGTAACGTTCGGCGACTAACATTACGCATTGCACTCTTACTATTGAACCAAAGCCCAGTGGACAAAGAAGAAAAATACTACTTTAAACGAAGAACTTCCCTAGTAACACAAAACAGCTCCCCGTTCTATCCAGTTTTAAAATTACTGGACACTACTGGAAAGAAAGAACAAATTTCAATTTGACTTCAAACTCAAAAATACACAAAAAATATTTCAGTTTTCGTTTGTGGTTTTCAATCATGGAGTTTAGTTAAAATTCGAGGTTGGTTTGCTGTTTGCTGTTTAGTCAAACTACAATATAAAATCCTAAAGTTTGCCTACCAAAGTATTTACGGCTTAAGCATGCTCCCATGACTATTAATTAAATAAAGTGACAAAATGATTAAGCCCAATTGTTATGCAGGATCTATGGTGGAAGTCCAATTCTAAAGTTTAATGTCGTAAAAATGGCGTGTAGTAGCCACTAATTAAGGGTGTCTTTAATTTTTATCCACTAATTACAATGCTCAGCAAAAATAGCCACTACTAATAGGGAAAAGACACATTTACCCTTTCTTCAATGCGCTTATAATGCCAAGATGCCCAAAAACCCTTATTTTTCATTCAGACGAGGGAAAAGCATTTGAGAGCGGTTTCAGGGCAAGTTGCGTCTTCTCTGCTACTTCATCATCCTCGCATGCAAACGATCTTCAGTTAATCTTTCTGCTCCTTCATCTTCTCCGTCATCTTCTGTGAATCGATCGCGACTGGTAATATTTTTTTTATGCATTTTTGTTTTTCTATATGTGTAATCGGGTTCAATGTCGTGTGAAGTATGTGTGAAATTTCAAAAATGATCATTATATGCTGATTCAGTGTCGGAGATGTAGTGTGATTCTGTTATTCAGAAATTTTTAGTGTTGAAATGTAAAATGTGTTTGTGGTTGATTCAATATATTTGATTATGTAGGGATATTTCATAAAAATAGTCGTAGAAATTCATAAGCTTACTGTGTTTATGAATTTTTAGTTAAATGTGTTCATGAAATATAAGAAAGAAACGACATT